AAGGAAGGAAAGGAAGAAAAAGGAAAGAAGGAAGGAAAGAAGGAATGAAGGAAGAAAAGAAAGAAGAAAAAGGAAGGAAGGAAAGAAGGAAGGAAATAAAGGAAGAGGAAAGAAGGAAGGAAGGAAAGAAGGAGATAAATAAAGAAGAAAAAGGAAGGAAAGAAAGAAAGAAGGAAGGAAGGAAATAAGGAAGGAAAAGGAAGGAAGGAGGGAAGAAAAGAAAGAAGGAAGGAGGGAAAAAAGAAGGAAAAGAAGAAGGAACTAAAGAAGGAAGAAAAGATGGAAGGAAGAAAATAAAGAAGGAAGCAAAAGGAAGGAAGGAAGAAAAGAAAGAAGGAAATAAAGAAGAAAAAGATGGAAGGAAGGAAAGAAAGAAAGAAGGAAGGAAAAGGAAAGAAGGAAGGAAATAAAGGAAGGAAGGAAGAAAAGGAAGGAAATAAATAAAGAAGAAAAAGGAAGGAAGGAAGGAAAGAAAAGAAAGAAAGAAAGAAAGGAAAACGAAGGAAGGAGAGAAGAAAAGAAAGAAGGAAGGAAGGAAGGAAGACATTTCTTGGAGGCAGAGGAGGAGGAATAGAGAGAATGTGGAGTTGGAGGAGACCTCAAAGGCCATCCAGCCCATTCCCCTTTAGCAGGGAAGATACCATCAAAACAGTCCTGACAGATGGCCATTCAGCCTCTGCTTGAAGGCCTCCACGGGGGTTGGTGTTCTCCTCCCAACTCAATAATGCTCAGATTCAATAAAGCTCTGGAGCAAAACAAGAGGGAATCCAGAAGGTCTCGTCAACAAAACCTCCATAACCGAAGCAGACCGTGAACTCGTATTTTCAATACTTTTGAGCCCGGACGTCCATCCGCTCGCTGACCTTTCCCTTTGCAGAATCAACACCTTGCAGACGGAGAGGCCGGCGCCCACTGGCTCAAGGCAAACTCTCCCGTCAACACTTTTATATCTTCCTTTTTCCACGAGACACAAAGACGCAACTGCATGCAAACTTTGCTTAAGGAACAATTTAAGCTCCCTTCTACGGGGTGAAAACTTGCCTTTTGTGCTCTTTAGGCCACCAACCTTTAGCATCGCAGCGAATGCATGCGTTTGGAAGCAGTTGGACACTGGTTTGCAAAAATGTCCAGGGTGAGAAACTGAAATCCATGTTTTGCCTTTGGAAGGCCCAATCAAACAAAGCTGGGTCTGGCTATATTATTTTGATGAGAAATATCTCTGGAATCAATGTCAACAAAACTCTTTCGTGGGGTTCACTTTCCGTGATTATTGCTGCAAGATTACTCAAATGCACAAAAATGGAAAAATTAAAACCTACCATCAAAATTGAAAAGATTTTGGAGACTGTGCCTGGGGTCCCTGCTACACGGCCACATTTGTTTTATCATGTCAGAAGCGAATTGAGAATGCATATACTGCAAGTCGCTTCTGGTGTAAGTGAATCACCTGTCTATAAAGATGTTACCCAGGGGATGCCCGGATGTATTGTCCTGTGGGAGGCTTCTCTCATGTCCCCGCATGGGAAGCTGGGGCTGACAGATAGAAGCTCACCCTGTCTTGCGGATTCGAACCACCAGCCTTCAGGTCAGCAGCTTAGTTGGCACAAGAGTTTGACCCATTGCACCACCACGGCTCCCACACTGTCACATAAAGGCTGACAGATAGGAGCTCACCCTGTCTCGTGGATTCAAACCGCCAGCCTTCAAGTCTTCAGGTCAGCAGTTCGGTTGGCACAAGAGTTTGACCCATTGCACCACCACGGCTCCCACACTATCACATAAAGGCTGACAGATAGGAGCTCACCCTGTCTCGTGGATTCGAAGCACCGACCTTCAGGTCAGCAGTTCAGATGGCACAAGTGTCTGACCCATTGCACCATCTCGTGGATTTGAAGTGCCGACCTTCAGGTCTTCAGATCAGCACTTCGGCTGGCACAAGATTTTGACCCATTGTGCCACTGTGGCTTCCACACTGCCACATAAAATCCAGATGATCTTCATTGAACTGGATTATATGGTAGTGTAGGCTCATATAATCCAGTTCAAAGCAGATAATGAGGATTATCTGCTTTGATAATCTGGATCATATGGCAGTGCAGAAGGGGCCTGGAACTACACAACCATATAATGCATTTTGGAAATGCATATTATTATTATTATTATTATTATTATTATTATTATTATTATATAATGCATTTCCAAAATAACAACAACAACAACAACAACAACAATCTCTGCAAAGAAGCAAGATGAAACAATAGATCACATCCTGAGCTGCTGCAAGAAGATCACGCAGACAGACTCCAAGCAGAGGCACAACACCCTTGCTCAAATGATTCAATGGAACTTGTGCCACAAATACCATCTGCCTGCCACAAAGAACTGGTGGGATCACAAGCCGGAAAAAGTTACAGAGAATGAACACGTCGAACTCCTCTGGGACTTTGGAATTCAGACAGACAGAGTTCTGGAGCACAAGACTCCTGACCTCACAATCGTGTTAAAAAACAAAGCCTGGATCGTCGATGTCACAATCCCAGGTGAGAGCAGGATTGAAGAGAAACAACTGGAAAAGCTGACACAATATGAGGATTTAAAGATCAAACTGCAAAGACTCTGGCACAAGCCAGTCAAGGGGGTCCCAGTGGTGATGGGCACACTGATGCAGTGCCTCAAGACCTTGGCCTGCACTTAAGCACAATCAGCGCTGACAAGATTACCACCTGGCAGCTGCAAAAGGCCACATTACTGGGATCTGTATGCATTATTCGCCGATACATCACACAGTCTTAGACACTTGGGAAGTGTCCGACGTGTGATCCAACACAACAGCCAGCAGAGTGTCTGCTGTGGACTCATCTTGTTGTGTTTCAAATAATAATAATAATAATAATAATAATAATAATAATAATAATTGATCAGTTTAGACCAGGCATGGGCCAACTTGGGCCCTCTGGGAGTTTTGGACTTCAATTTTCCATTATGTTATTTTGTACTATTTATTTTATGTGATTGGTTTATTTTTTATTGTGATGTTATCTTGTTGTTTATACTTTATATTGCTGTAGTGTATCGCTGGGCTTGGCCTCATGTAAGCCGTTCCAGGTCCACTTTGGGGAGATGGTGGCAGGGTATAAATAAAGATTATTATTATTATTATTATTATTATTATTATTATTATTATTGTTATTCCCACAATTCCTCACAGCCTCAGGCCCCTCAGGAATTGTGGGAGTTGAAGTCCAAAACACCTGGAGGGCTATCATGTGTTTTTGCAATGTTTACATGTTTTGAGTTTGTTTATGCCTTTTGTGGGGCTGGAAAGGAAGACAAGGGCCTCCGGAAGCAATGGATCCGCCATTGCAAAATGCAATGACTGGGCAACGCAAGGGCCATAATGCAATTGCTCAGTGCAGGAAAGGTGTGTTTGTAATTTATAATGTAGATTTCAAAGCATGTATGTATGTATGTTTAAAACGCAGTAGCCGTGTGCCTAGTGTATTCCTGTGTGCAAAGAGTTAACTGAACCATGGAGGGAGCAGCATTCCTAGGGAGGTCATAAATCAAGTATATATAACAAATCGAGCGTTGTAGTCATACGTCACTCTGGAATGCAAGAGGTGTGGACTAGTGCTGATAACAGAGTTCTGTGTGTTCGCGATGTGACTATTGGACGGGATAGAAGCAGTTTACAATGTGCTTAAAGTAGCTTCTAATGCAGTGGTTCTCAACCTGGGGTCCCCAGATGTTTTTGGCCTATAACTCCCAGAAATCCCAGCCAGTATACTAGCTGTTAGGATTTCTGGGAGTTGAAGGCCTAAAACATCTGGGGACCCCAGGTTGAGAACCACTGTTCTAATGTATATAGCTGTAAAATAAAATAGTTTATAGCCTAAGGTGGCTGTGATGGATGTGTTCCTGCCTTGCTGTGCGGCCGATGCCACTGACAAGGTGCCCTGTCATCCAGATGGCCAAAGCACACCGGACGGATGGCCATCCGCTCTCTTAATCTCCATCGTTTGAAAGGGCTAATCCTCCCTGATTGAGTCAGAGCAAGATCTCAATTGCAGGCGAATTGGATTCCCAGCGCCTTCTCCGCCTCTTTCTTGCAAACTGAGTCCTGAGAGCATCCTCTGAGTATTCTCTAAGAAACTCATAATTAAAATTAATTACTGAATTGATGATGATGATGATGCAGGCCAGAATATAGTCTAGCACTGCTTTAACTGCCATAGCACATGGCTATGGGATTTTGGGAGTTGTAGTTTGCACTCTCTGGCAGAGAGAAAAGGACAAGGGACTTGTAAAACTACAACTCCCATGATCCCATAGATCAGTGGTTCTCAACCTTCCTAATGCCGGGACCCCTTAATGCATTTCCTCATGTAGTGGTGACCCCCAAACATAATATTATTTCCATTGCTACTTTATAACTGTAATTTTGTTCCTGTTATGATTATATAAGATTTATTACATGTAGATCCTACGTGACTGATAATTCTAATACATATGTACATGTATAATACTAATCTACTAACAAAAAGAATCCCACACCTTGTGTGACTGCGGAACAGACAACTCCGCATCTGTATGCTTGTCCATTATGCCCTGCCTCATGCACAGAGGAAGAATTGCTGGGGGCTACAGACAATGTTGTTGCTGTTGCCCGTTTTTGGTCAAAAGATATTTAGCCACCTGCGCTCCTTCTATTTTTATCAGTTTTATACTAATTTATGAATTGCTTTTGATATGAAGCAATAATAATCTACTAACAAGTGAAATGAACTTTAAGATGTGTATACGCTTGGCTCCCCACCTCCTGACTCCTACGTAGATAAACGATCCCAAGGAGGTCAAGGGACGCTCCGCTTTGGTCAATGTCAAGAGATGCACGACATCTCTGAATCCAACTTGGCGAAGGACTCCCAGCCCACTTGCAGCCTTACTTCCTCCCTCCCTTCCTTTGGTGAATGAGGGGGGTCACACTCTCTCAGACTCACCTGTGGGAAGTGAAGTTGTCATAGGAGCCCACGGTGTAGTGCCGGAAGAGCCGCTTGGTCCGGTCCTCTCGGGTTTCTGCCGGGAAAAAGGAGAAGAGGAAGAAGGTCAGCCCTTGCACACGCCTCCAAGTCCCCTCCCCACCTTTTGCACACTCGGCCCTCACCTGCCTTCGCTCCCTTCCTCCACCTGTTCATCCTCTTCTTCCTCCTCCTCACCACTTCCTCGCACTCCTCTCCTTCTTCACTTGCCTATTCCTTCTCATCTTCCTCCTCCACCTTCTCTTCGTCTCCTCCTCTTTCTCTTTTCTTCCTCCCCTTTCATCCTTCCCTCCGTCCTTCTCTTCTTCCTGTCTTGTCCCCATCTTCTTCCCCCTTCCCCTCTCCTTCTTCTTGTTCTTCCTCTGCTTATTCATCCCCTATTTCTTCATCCCTTTCCTCTGCTTTTCCTCCTCTGCTTCCTTCACTACTTCTTCCCCTGCATATTCGCTTCCTCTTCACCCTCCTCTCCTCCTTCCTTTGGCTATTCCTTCTCTTCTTCCTCTGCCTCCTCTACTCTTCCTCCTCTTTCTCTTTTCTTCCTCCCATTTCATCCTTCTCTCCCTCCTTCTCCTCTTCCTGTATCCTCTTCAACTTCCCCTTTCCCCTCCCCTTCTTCTTTTTGTCTTCTGCTTATTCATTTCCTATTTCTTCCTCATCCTCTTCTATTTCCTCTACTGCTGTGTTTCATCTCCATTTTCCCTTCCTCTTCTTCATTTCCTTCCTCCTCCCTTCTTCCTCATCCTCTTCTTCTTCTTCATTTGCCTATTCCTTCTCTTCTCCACCTTTTCTTCCACGCCAACTCTTCCTCTTCCTCCTCCTCTACTTCTTCCTTTTCCTCTTCAATTTCTCCTTCTTTTCCTCTTTTCCTCCTTCCTCCTTCTCTTCTCCCTGTATCCTGCCCATCTTCTTCCCCCTTCCCCTTCCCTCTGTCCCTTTGTCCTCTGCTTATTCATCTCCTATTTCTTCCTCATCTCCTTCTTCTATTTCCTCTACTGTTTTCTTCTCTACTTCATCTCCACATCCTCCCTTCCTCTTCTTCATTTCCTTCCTCCCTTCTTCCTCACCCTTCTTTCCTTCTTKATTTGTCTATTCCTTCTCTTCTTCCTCTGCCTCCTCTACTCTTCCTCTTCACATCTTCCTCCACCTTTTCTTCTTTTTTCATCCCTTTCATCCTTCCCTACTTCTCTTCTCCCCCTTCCCCCTCTTCTTCTTCCTCCTTCTCCTCTTCCTCTCTACCTCTTCCTCCACCTTTTCTTCTTCTTTTCTCCCTCTTTCATCCTTCCCTTCCTCCTTCTCTTCTCCCCCTTCCCCCTCTTCTTCTTCCTCTGCCTCCTCTTCCTCCTCTACTCCTTCCTCCTCTTCCAGCCCTCCTTCCTTCTCCTACACCTTTTCCTCTTTTCTTCCTATTCTTCCTCTTCCCTGTTCATCTTCTTCGATTCCTCTCTTCCTCTTCTGTTTATTTCCCTCCCAGAATTGGAAAGGGACCCCCAAAGGCCATCTAGTCCAACTCCAGCTGGTGCAATTCTGGCGGTCTCTGAGGGCAAAACAAACCTGTTTGGAGGATCTCAAGTAACTTCCATCCATAGTTTAAGCAATATGTGTGTGTGTGTGTGTGTGTGTTAATGTGGTCCTGAGGGGTCTAATTGTAGGGGGGAGATATATATATATATATATATATATATATATATATATATATATCTGCATGCTGGTTAACTGTGGACATCAAGGCAACCAAGTTCCCTCCTGCAGAGCTCAAGAATATAAAAGCGGCAGCCTTCAAGTGGGAAAAAGAACATCCTCGGACTGGTTTAATGGTCTCTTTGTGCATTAAAAGGGGGGCCAGGCTCCCCTGAAAAGAGGAGGACAATGGGCACAAACGGGAGCGCAATCTCGCACATTGCCCACGCCACAGGGGCCTTTCAAGCCTTCTTGTGCGCAGGCAGGGAGTCCTCTCTCTTCCCACCATTTCACTCCATAAGAATGAAAACAACTGCCTATTCAGCTTTAACTGCTGGTGTTCAATGCTACGGGAATTGTAGTTTTACCAGGTCTTTGCCACAGAGTGATGGTGCCTTGCTCAACTACAAATCCCAGAAGCCCATAGCATTGAACCCTTATGGTAAAGTGCAACACTTTATGAAACTGCAAAAACTTTGTCTTCGCGGGAGGGACATTCTGCAGCACATTATATTATTACAATATTACATTATATATTATATATTAATTATTATACCATTATAATTATATTATATTATTATATTATAATAATATTATACTGTTATATTATATTATTACATTATTACTATAATAATTATATTATAGTGCCCTGACTTACAGTTGTTAACGGGTGCTCCTTACAGGGAGAGGTCAACCCTCCTGTTTAAGGAGCTCCACTGGCTGCCGTTCATTTACCGGACCCAATTCAAGGTGCAGGTGCTTACCTACAAAGCCCTGAACGGTTTGGGACCTGCCTACCTGCGTGACCGCATCTCTGTATACGAACCCACACGATCTCTTCGTTCATCTGGAGAGGTCCTGCTTGCACTCCCACCTGCATTGCAAGCGCAATTGGTGGGGACGAGGGAAAGGGCCTTCTCGGTGGTGGCCCCTCGACTCTGGAACTTGCTCCCCAAGGACATCAGACATGCCCCAACTCTGGCAGTCTTTAGGAGGAGCCATGTATAAATATGTGAGAGGAAGCCACAGGGAGGAGGAGGGAGCAAGCTTCCTTTCTGCTTCCCTGGAGACTAGGACGCAATGGAAGAATTGCTTGTTGTTATATTGCTTTAATTGTTTTTAATTTGCCTTGGGTTTTGTATTGTTATGTTGTGTGTTGAGGCCTTGGCCTTTGTAAGCCACATCGAGTCCTTCGGGAGATGCTAGCGGGGTACAAATAAAGTTTAATAATAATAATAAAATAATAATAATAATAATAACAATGTGATGTGGCGGCAAAAAACGCCAATGGGATTTTGGCCTGCATCAATAGGAGCATAGTGTCTAGATCAGGGAAGTAATGCTACCCCTCTATTCTGCTTTGGTTAGACCACTACCTGGAATATTGTGTCCAATTCTGGGCACCACAATTGAAGAGAGATATTGACAAGCTGGAATGTGTACAGAGGAGAGCGACTAAAATGATAAAAGGTCTGGAGAACAAGCCTTATGAGGAGCGGCTAAAGGAGCTGGGCATGTTTAGCCTGAAGAAGAGAAGGCTGAGAGGGGATATGATAGCCATGTATAAATATGTGAGAGGAAGCCACAGGGAGGAGGAGGGAGCAAGCTTCCTTTCTACTTCCCTGGAGACTAGGACGCAATGGAACAATGGCTTCAAACTACAAGAGAGGAGATTCCATCTGAACATGAGGAAGAACTTCCTGACTGTGAGAGCCGTTCAGCAGTGGAACTCTCTGCCCCGGAGTGTAGTGGAGGCTCCTTCTTTGGAAGCTTTGAAACAGAGGCTGGATGGCCATCTGTCAGGGGTGATTTGAATGCAATATTCCTGCTTCTTGGCAGAATGGGGTTGGACTGGATGATGGCCCAGGAGGTCTCTTCCAACTCTTGGATTCTAGGATTCTATGATTCTAGGAGCCTGAAAACATGGTTGTTCCAGTGTGCCTTCCCAGAATAAGGAAACCCTAAGCAACATGTCCCTAATCGCACTTTACTAATGATCTAGGATTGTCTGCTCGCTCCATCTCTCTCCAAATACCCATCCTAGTTATATGTCACCTTGTCATGCCCAGCATTTTTAAAAATTTTAATTATTACATTTGTCCCTGCCATAGGTGTTTAATGCGTCATGGTGTTATTGTTACTGTTTATTGCTTTATTTATGAGTTTATTTATTGTCTGTATTGCTGTTGTATTTGGGCTCGGCCTCTTGTAAGCCGCACTGAGTCCTTTGGGAGATGGTAGCGGGGTATAAATAAAGGATTATTATTATTATTATTATTACAAGAACTGCACAAACTTTGCAGGAGAGACATCCTGCTATAGCACATTATATTATAATATTATATTATTCAATTATTATATGTTATATTATAATTATATGCATTATTATTTTAATTTATATTATGTTTTTTGTGTACTGATTTGTTGGAAACTGCCTTGAGTCGCCGATTGGCTGAGAAAGGCAGTATACAAATACAGTAAAGAAATAAATAAATATTATATTATCATATTTATAATTATAGTATATTATTTTATTATAATATACTAGCCATCCCCTGCCACGTGTGGCGGTGGCCCAGTCTATGTATATGTATTTTGTGAGTGTATATATATATATGTGTGTGTGTGTGTGTGGTTTTGCACATGCGCTGTAGCGTCTTTTTGCTTTTTTGGCTTTTAAGTCCCGTCTGCTGTGTTTTTCAGTGTTTTTATGAGTGATGGTCACTCGTTGGTCTGTTAGGGGTATAGTGTCCAAATTTGGTGTCAATTTGTCCAGTGGTTTTTGAGTTATTTTAATCCCACAAACAAACATTACATTTTTATTTATATAGATTACACAATGTGACACATATTTGTCCCTGGGTTATCAATGTCATTTCCTAATTGGTTTTATCAGAAAAACATGGGAAAAGTTAGGGTTGGCATTGAATGTTTGTCTAGAAATAAAATATATTATTATTATTATTATTATTATTATTATAATATAAAGTTTATTAGGCTGCACCAACTTTGTTTCTGCAGGAAGGGCATCCTGCTATAGCACATTTTGCTCCAGTTTTCCAATGAATCTCTCATAGAGTCTCAATCAATTCATAGAATCCTAGAGATGGAAGAGACCTCCTGGGGCATCCTCCAGTCCAACCCCATTCTGCCAAGAAGCAGGAATATTGCATTCAAAGCACCCCCGACAGATGGCCATCCAGTTTGTTAGTTTGTGGTACAAAAAACAAAGGTTTCTGGAGTAGAACAACTCCTTTCAAAACCAGGACCGCACAATTAAACAGGAAACACTTCCAAATCAGGAACAGAATTTGTTTCAGATGTTGTTACATACTGTAACAAAATGTGAACTTTTCTGAAGGTGCTGCAATGCCCACCTTGGCCACCAGGTGGGGCGCGTCCTTTGCCCAAAAGCAGCTTGGGAAGTGTTTAACCTTCTGACCCTTCGAGCGAGCATCTGCTTCCCTGTCTCTGACCATCAGAAGCACTTGAGAAGCAGATGTTCCACATGGAGGCCAAAGACCGGCTGCCAAGGAAGGCGGCGGCGGCGGGATGCGGATGCCCGGTCTCTTCCTCCAATCCCGGCCTTAAAGGAGACTCTGCTACACTCACAAACTAAGGCCCTCCTTGGATCCCTGCTCCTAGCAGAAGGGGTTCTGTTAAGCACACATGGGAGTTGTAGTCCAACCAAAAGGACGCTTTCGGCCTGTAGTCCTGAAAAATAAACCCGTTTAGAAGTAATCCCATTTAGATTACTGCAACGCTCTCTACGTGGGGTTGCCTCTGAAGACTGCCCGGAAGCTGCAGCTAGTCCAACGCTCGGCAGCCAGACTACTAACGGGTGCTGGGTACAGGGAGCACACCACTCCGCTGTTACACCAGCTCCACTGGCTGCCAATTAGCTTCCGAGCACAATTCAAAGTGCTGGTGTTAACCTATAAAGCCCTAAACGACTCCGGCCCTGTTTACCTCTCCGAACGTATTCTCCCCTATGAACCATCAAGATTGTTAAGATCGTCTGGAGAGGCCCTGCTCTCGGTCCCACCGGCCTCGCAAGCGCGTCTGGTGGGGACGAGGGACAGGGCCTTCTCGGTGGTGGCCCCTCGACTCTGGAACTCTCTCCCTCTGTTTACCTCTCCGAACGTATTCTCCCCTATGAACCATCAAGATTATTAAGATCGTCTGGAGAGGCCCTGCTCTCGGTCCCACCGGCCTCACAAGCACATCTGGTGGGGACGAGGGACAGGGCCTTCTCGGTGGTGGCCCCTCGACTCTGGAACTCTCTCCCCCTGTTTACCTCTCCGAACATATTCTCCCCTATGAACCATCAAGATTATTAAGATCGTCTGGAGAGGCCCTGCTCTCGGTCCCACCGGCCTCGCAAGCGCCTGGTGGGGACGAGGGACAGGGCCTTCTCGGTGGTGGCCCCTCGACTCTGGAACTCTCTCCCTCTGTTTACCTCTCCGAACGTATTCTCCCCTATGAACCATCAAGATTATTAAGATCGTCTGGAGAGGCCCTGCTCTCGGTCCCACCGGCCTCACAAGCGCGTCTGGTGGGGACGAGGGACAGGGCCTTCTCGGTGGTGGCCCCTCGACTCTGGAACTCTCTCCCCCTGTTTACCTCTCCGAACGTATTCTCCCCTATGAACCATCAAGATTATTAAGATCGTCTGGAGGGGCCCTGCTCTCGGTCCCACCGGCCTCACAAGCGCGTCTGGTGGGGACAAGGGACAGGGCCTTCTCGGTGGTGGCCCCTGACTCTGGAACTCTCTCCCACTGGAGATCAGAACCTCCTTCCCTCTCCGAACGTATTCTCCCCTATGAACCATCAAGATTATTAAGATCGTCTGGAGAGGCCCTGCTCTCGGTCCCACCGGCCTCGCAAGCGAGTCTGGTGGGGACGAGGGACAGGGCCTTCTCGGTGGTGGCCCCTCGACTCTGGAACTCTCTCCCCCTGTTTACCTCTCCGAACGTATTCTCCCCTATGAACCATCAAGATTATTAAGATCGTCTGGAGAGGCCCTGTTCTCGGTCCCACCAGCCTCGCAAGCGCGCCTGGTGGGGACGAGGGACAGGGCCTTCTCAGTGGTGGCCCTGTGACTCTGGAACTCTCTCCCACTGGAGATCAGGACCGCCCCTTCTATCCTGACATTCAGGAAACAGGTGAAGACGTGGTTATGGAGACAGGCATTCGATGAGTGAGCCAACACCCTGAGATATGGATAGAAGATGATGTACAATCAATTTTAGTATGACGACTGACCATTGTAGTTATTGAATATATTTGCTGTTTTAATGTGTTATTGTAATATGAATTATGTTGTTTTACTGACTGTATGTGATTTTATGGTTGGAAACCGGTCTGAGTCCCTCAAAAGAGGTGAGAAGGTCGGTATATAAAACTTTTAAATAAATAATAAATAAACAGTAGCCGTTCCCAAGCAGCAATGGAGCTAAGAACATACAGACCTGTCTTTATTTGAAATGCACTTCTCTCGCCCTGAGATTCCTCCCAGTTACTTTGAGGTGTTGGAGTTCAACCTGTGGTTGTGTTTCAGGATCAGGGTGCTTTGGATGTGGGGAGTGATGCCAATTAATTTCAAGATGGCAATGGTTTGGTCAATGATACTAATGCAGAAGAAGGACCAGGAGACCCCTGAGCAAAGTGTAGTTTCCCATGAGAATGTCCCTGAAGGGTGTGGGGATGACAGTGTACTCCTTGAATTGTTACCAGAAAGTTTGCAGGATTTGGGGCTTGAAAAGAACTGGGCACCTGGTCCAGCTGCGAGACTTAATGAGCAAATAGATAGACAAGAGGAAATTAGTCAAAATAGATAGGCCGAACAGTGCCTTTGGCGATCTGCCAGGCTTCAATGGAAAAAAGATAAGGGAATCTCAAGTAAAATGAAACCAATTCCTGAGTGCGTGGAATAGCTTAACGAGGGGATAAAAAGTTCCAAGTATGGGAAATATAGTCAGATGAAGCACTGTTGGAATCATGTGTAGTTCTCGTCCTTTGTTTCATGGAAGCTTTGCTTGGAAGATATTTGTCTACATATTTCTTGTTCATGGTTTGGACTCTTGGGATGTATGAATGCTTACTCATGCCTTGGATTAATGTTTCCTGTTTTTCCTGAGTTATATTAGTGTGGACTTTATTTTTATGGACTTCGCTGAACTTTACCCTGGACTATTTTTGCTCCTGCTTATCTTCTTACCTAATTGGATTTACTTATTTCTTTGAGGTATTTTTTACTTGCTGTTTTTAATTATCTTCAATAAAAGGATTGTTTCCCAATTAACGGTGTGATGTTTACATTCATAGAGCTTTTCCTATCCTGGAGTGCAACACGAGGGCGGGAGTAAAGCATTCTGGGAACCTCAATGGGTTGAGATCACTGCTCAAACTGTGGGATCCCTTACACTCAATGTTAGGCTCCTGAAAAATTCAGTAACAATAAAAAGTTTCCAAATGCCACCTAATGGTTGTTTTGGGCATTTACACAAATCTGTTGTACAGCGTTTACATTAGACTCTGCAGAAGATGCTTCAGCTGTACTTAATAATAATAATAAAACTTCCATCATAAAAAGGAAAATCACCCTGTTTAGCTAGCCTTGTAAATAATGCTGATCTATTACATTTTATACCTATTTTAAATGCCTATATACCTGGAGTCATGTTAACATTTCTCAGGCCAAAAGGGGTCCCAATTGGAAAGGTTTAAGAAGACCTGGTCTAGGTGACCCTTGGGGGTCCCTTCATGAATTTACAAATGAAAGCTCATGTCCCTCTTGTTGTAACACGCACACAGGTTGATCCTGCCATTGCAGACCCCTGATGCAAAGACAGCCCACCAGTAAGACCCCCGTTCTCCCCCTTCTTCTTTCCATTGACAAAACAGGGCTGAAACAGGTCATTTAGAGAGAGAGCTCTAGTGGACACAAACACATGGAAGGGCGATGCAGGAAGAGATTTGTGAGCCATAGTATTCCCTAATGGGGAGATCATTAGGAAGGGCAGTGAAAGGTGGAAGGAAACGACGCAAGGCAGACTTCGTGATTGCAAAACGACTGTGAAACAAACAAAGCCGAGTGACAAAGGTGAAAATGGGCCCCCATTGCAGCATTGCAAAGCCTGCGTGCAAACAGGTTTCAAGTTCTAAATGAGTGCTGCAGAGACTCAAGTGGCAAAGAAGTCATTTAATGTGAAAATACATCTGTGCCCTTCGGGAAGGTGAGAATCAAACTGCAAAACAAACAAGGCAACTTATGCCATGTTTGCAACGATGTGGGAATGTCATTGCAAATACGGCACACATGCAGGTTTCAAGTTCTAAATGAGTGTGGCACAGATGCCACAAGGAACACAACGGGTCCACGGTAGTGATGTCACGAGTGTCGTGAGTGCCACATCTTCCATTCCCAGCATGAACCTCTGCTGAACAGGAGAGACTTTACCTACTCCCGAGAAGGACTTCCTGCCTGGGAGGCCGAAGGCAACCAGAATTGGGGCTTGCGGAGGGCTCCGTCCACTCCGGCGCTTGACCGCTCCTTTGTTGAGCTTCAGCAAAACTGGCCCTGAGAGCCAAGGGATGGAGGGCAAATGGGTTGGCAAGAGGGTGGCTTTGCAGCCAACACAACGGAGATTGTTTTGCATTACTTTTCATTACAAATGCCTTCCCCAAGAGAGCGCAATATTCGAATTTGACAATCACAGTGCAATAGTTCAAACATATTGTCCACAGGTCTGATCTGCACTACAATGTTAGTACCACTGATTCTGCACCCACGGATTCAACCATCAAAGGCCATCTAGTCCAACCCCCATATGCCAGGCACTACCGAAGCTCTCCTGACAGATGGCCATCCAGCCTCTGTTGAAAAACCTCCAGGTGCCACCAAATGCGCTCCAGAACAACAACAAAACTTTATTTATATACCGCTCTGTCTCCCCGCCCGTTGTACCAGTTGAAACTTCTGGGTCACCTTCAAGGGCAGCCCCACGTAGAGTGCATTGCAGTAGTCCAGTCTGGATGTAACCAAGGTGTGGGCCACCCTGGTCAAGTCATACTTCACGCACAAGTTTGAGTTGTGCAAAGGCCCTCCCGACCACCACTGACACCTGAGCATCAAGCGACAGCATGGAGTCCAGGAGGACCCCCAAGCTACGGACCTGCGCCCTCAGGGGGAGTGTAACCTTGTTGAGCACAGGTTGCCACCCAATACCCCGGTCGGCCCCACGACTGACCAGGAGGACCTCTGTCTTGTCTGGATTAAGCTTCAACTTGTTAGCCCTCATTCAGCCCATCACAGCAGTCAGACACTGGTTCAGGGTCTGGGAGGCTTCCTTGGAATTTGGTGGAAATTAGTAGTAGAGTTGAGTATCATCTGCGTACAGGTGGCACCCAACTCCAAAACTCCGGATGACCTCACCCAGTGGTTTCATGTAGATATTTAAAAGGATGAGGGATAGAATGGAACCTTGTGTGACCCCACAGGTCAAGAGCCAGGGGTCCGAGCAGGTATCCCCCAGCGTCACCAACTGGGAGCTGGTTGTTTCTGTCAATATCATACGAAAGCTGACTGGCACAACCTGGGGATCAAAACCAGACACAGTAAAGACATCTGCCCTTGCGCTGTGCTACTCTGCTGCTGAGTATGCATGCCCAGTGTGGAACACATCTCACCACACTAAAACAGTATATGTGGCTCTTATAGGCTGCTTCTACTGATAATTTATTTATTTATTTATTTATTTGCTTCACTTTTATACCGCATATTTCAGCCTTTGACAGGCGACTCAATGCGGTTCACAGTGCAATTAAAACACAATAATACAAAAGCCGGAACGACAAGTCGCTCCACAACAATTAACATCAGACAGACAACCCACAAACAACATATATAACGCCTCCGTTAAAGTCAGATCCATTCTCATAGTCATTATGCCATTCCTATATTCAGTTACCATCTTCCTTAGTTAGTTGCAATTACTTAGCCAAACGCTTGCTCAAAGAGCCAGGTCTTGACCATTCTCCGAAATGCCAGCAATGAAGGTGCCTGTCTGATGTCTACTGGCAGGGCATTCCATAGCCGAGGGGCCACCGCTGAGAAGGCCCTGTCTCTCGTCCCCGCCAAGCGCACCTGTGACGCAGGCGGGATCGAGAGCAGGGCCTCCCCAGACGATCTTAATGTTCTAGTCGGTTCGTAGGCGGAAATGCGTTCGGAGAGGTAAGCGGGGCCAGAACCGTTTAGAGCATTACACTGCTTAGCCGGTATTGTACCACCTGACATCCGCCGGGAAGTAGCAGCCAATAGTGAAAGGACCAAGGCAGAGACATCTCCAGCTCATCCCTTGTTTGGGTATCAGCCAGCACGTCAACGACTTAAAACTAGAAATAGTTTTCTAAGATCTACAGAGACACTCGCTGGAACACCTCAGCAAGCGAGAGTCCAAAAGTGGCAGGCTCAAACCCAGAACCTCAATCAATGGCTGATACCAAATGAGAGACTCCCTGCTGGGCACACAGCAACTTGGAAGGAACTGAACAGACTGCGCTCTGGCACCACGAGATGCAGAGCCAACCTTCAGAAATGGGGCTACAAAGTGGAATCCACGACATGCGAGTGTGGAGAAGAGCAAACCACTGACCACCTGCTGCAATGCAACCTGAGCCCTACTACATGCACAATGGAGGACCTTCTTGCAGCAACACCAGAAGCACTCCAAGTGGCCAGATACTGGTCAAAGGACATTTAATCTACCACACTCACAAATGTTGTAATTTGCTTGTTTGCTTTGTTCTGTTAGAAATGTAATATAATTTGACTGGTTGCCCTGACACGACAAATAAATAACCAACTGGGAGCGACCCTCCTGGAGGGAGCGGAGCCACTGCAGAGCAATGCCCCCAAGACCCATTCCGGAGAGCCGCCCCAGAAGGATACCACGGTCGATGGCATCGAAAGCTCAGTTTGAAAGTTTTATTCTGACCCTCTCAGCACAATTTTAGGGTGTTTTGGGCCAAAGGGGGGAAAGCAACATGGAGAGCTGGGCGTCACTCCAAGACCATATGTATCAGCATCTTCAATGCACCATTTTGGCATGACGGAGGAATGCTACTGATGAGATATCGAATGCATTGCAGCCATGTGCAACGGGATATGATGCAAAATGTCCTAATGCACAAATGTGTCTTCTTGTGGGTTGAGAACACCATTACGTATCAGGATATACTGAACGTCAGGACACACTGCTCGTGGAAATATATTGCACATCGGAAAACACCGCGCATTGAAACACCAGAATGCATTGCACAGCAGAAAATGTACAGTAGGAAATACTGAACACCAGGACCCATTGCACAACAGAATGCATTGCACACCAGGAAGCTATGCATCGGGATTGCAAGGGATTTTGCCTACTCTGCTGAAGCGTTCCAAACGACAACTCCCAGGATTCCATTGCACCAAGCAGCTGCATTATTTCAACAGCCCAGGTGTATCCAAAGGAGAATCCACCAACACCAAAGGCACTCTGACGCTGATCCACATTGCAGAATTATAACAGTTTGGCATCTGCCATGGGATGTGTAGTTTGGCGTAGCACTACCACTCCCTAAAATAGAAGGATAAACTGTGCACTGGGACTGTGGCGCAGCTGGCTGGGAGTCAGCTGCATTAAGATCACTACTGACCAAAAGGTCATGAGTTCGAAGCCAGCCCAGGTCGGAGTGAGCTTCCGACCAAATTTGTGTAGCTTGTTGTCGACCTTTGCAGCCCGAAAGACAGTTGCATCTGTCAAGTAGGAAATTTAGGTACCACTTATGCAGGAAGGCTAATTTATTTATTTATTTCGAGGTTTTCTATACCGAGCTTCTCAACCTCATCGAGGGACTCAGCCCAGTTTCCAGACATAAAAAACAGCATACAATAATTAAAATATCATATATCACAAATTACCGTAACAGATTTAAAATAACATTATATATAAAACTACGATGGTCAGTCGTCAGAAGCCTGCCTATCCACTTCCATCCAGGATCCTAGGGTGTTGTCTTATTCATTGAAAGCCTGACTCCACAGCCACGTCTTCACCCGTTTCCTGAAAGTCAGGATAGACGGGGCAGTTCTGACCTCCGGAGGGAGAGAGTTCCAGAGTCGAGGGGCCACCACCGAGAAGGCCCTGTCCCTCGTCCCCACCAGACGCGCTTGCAAGGCCGGTGGGACCGAGAGCAGGGCCTCTCCAGACGATCTTAATAATCTTGATGGTTCATAGGGGAGAATACGTTCGGAGAGGTAAACAGGGCCGGAGTCGTTTAGGGCTTTATAGGTCAACACCAGCACTTAATTAATTTGCGATGCCATAAAACTCTCCAGCTGCATGCAAAAGAATGAGGAAGTACTCCATTGGTGTTACAAGTGGACGGTGAAGCAATAGCTCCCCCAGTGGTCAGAATTCGAAGCATACCCTCATGAAGCTGGAAAATTAAATAGCCTCTGTGTGTCTGTCTATATATGTGTGTCTATGGCATTGAATGTTTGTCATGTATATGTACATTGTAATCTGCCCTGAGAAGGGCAGAATAGAAATACTGTAAATAAATAAATAAATAAACTCCTCAGCAAACTACAAATCCCAGGATACCATCATATGGAGCCATGGCAGTGGGGGCCAAACTGCTATAATTCTGCAATGTGGATCACTCTCATTGTATAAATATACAGAATATAAATATAAATATACAGAATAGAAATACTGTAAATATATAAATAAACAAACAAACTCCTCAGCAAACTACAATTCCCAGGATACCATCCTATAGAGCCATGGCAGTCGGGGCCAAACTGCTATAATTCTGCAATGTGGATCACTCTCGTTGTATAAATATACAGAATATACATATACAGAATATAAATACTGTAAATAAATAAATAAATAAACTCCTTAGCAAACTACAAATCCCAGGATACCATCATATGGAGCCATGGCGGTGGGGGCCAAACTGCTATAATTCTGCAATGTGGATCACCCTTGTTGTATAAATATACAGAATATAAATACAAATATACAGAATAGAAATACTGTAAATAAATAAATAAAGTCCTCAGCAAACTACAAATCCCAGGATACCATCCTATGGAGCGATGGCGGTGGGGGCCAAACTGCTATAATTCTGCAATGTGGATCACCCTCATTGTATAAATATACAAAATATAAATATACAGAATATAAATATACAGAATATAAATACCGTAAATAAATAAATAAATAAACAAACAAACTCCTTAGCAAACTACAAATCCCAGGATACCATTATATGGAGCCATGGCAGTGGGGGGCAAACTGCTGTAATCTTGCAGCATGGATGCAAGGAAACAGGCTGGACTAGGTGCCCTTTGGGGGTCCCTTCTGACTTAGGGGAGGGCTGAAATACCCTTTTGTTTACTCATCAGGAAGGTTATAGATATGGAGGATTGCATTAGCTGGAGGAGGATGGACTGGATGCCCTCTAGGATCCCTTCCAGTGCAACAGTTCCGTGACTCTATGACATGTCTGCATGTTTGTGCAACCACA